TAGTCGCTGACATTGTGTTTGTTTTTCTTAAGAGTCAGTTGTGTCAAAACGTTTTTGAGTCAAAACCTGTTGGAGATTATGATGCTTTTCTCGGAATTATTGTGCTGACCTTTCATCTAAGTGACCACTGCTGCAGATTCCGTCTAGATCCGACTAATGAAAAATCCAAAGGCTGACCAGTTGACTAGAGGCGTCCATGTTTCCAACAGAATCCATTAACCTGAGCTAATTTCTGAACTCTTTCTTTTACCTCATTGATGTGACTGATGTTCATAAAGCTTGATTCCTCGTTCATACTTGACAAATGAAAGCCTGTGTGAAATTTAATGTTGGTGTTTCTCTCCCTGTGACGAGCTAAGAAGAAGAAAAAGAAAGAAAAAGGGCGAAAAGATTGAGATGATTTTCGCTTAGGAGTGAAGGGCTAGGAATGTTTCCAATGATCCCATTATTTCCCTTCTAAGTTGGAATGATCACACAAAGGAAGGAAGTGAGGGGTAGGAAAGTTTCCCATGACCCCACTATTCGCTGAAAACATTTGATACAAGATAAGGGGACAACTCGGGGACTCGATGGCAAACACCATCAGTACTCGCAGCTTTACTCTTATCGAGTATATGCCAGAAAGAAAAAAAAAATATGATGAATGTGCGAAAAGAATAAGTCTGGGGGAGAGAAAAAGTACCAAAGTTTGTATGGCTGATTTGTTTGAGTATAGAATGGGAAAGAGTCTAGAAGGTTCTTGGCATTGGAATCATCAGTGAGATCCAGCGATGAGGGTTTATGGACAATGTTGTGGAATTTTGGACTTAATCTGGAAAGCTGTGAATGTCTGCGGAGAAGTACATGGTGGTTCGATTTGGAGTGATGAAGCAGTAGTTGAGTTGCAGGATAATCGGTCAAAAGCGATGTTCCAATGAAAGGTTGAGTCTCTGCATTTTCAAACCTCTTTCTCTTATTTGGTGTTCTGTTTGCTTGAGGGCAAGCAAATGCTAAGTCTGGGGGAGTTGATATATCATGGTTTTTATGGTTTTTAACCATGGTATATGTCTTATTTATAGAGTCTTTTTAGTGTCTTTCGAGTCTTTTGGAGTCTTTTCAGGTCATAGGTACGTTTGGAGCTTAACTGGAGACTTTGGAACACTTTGGAGCTTAATCAGGATCAAATTCGTCAACTATGGATTTTGTGCTTTAGTGACGTTCGACACCATGGAGAGTGACGCTCGACACTTGTCAGAGAAATAAGGAAAAGGCAATTTTGTTTCCTATTTGAAGAAGGAGTTGGGCCTAAACGTTTCCAAGGAAGCCCAAGACGTGTCTTAGAGATATATATAGGATTTTTATTCTTTTTTTACGAGAACCTTAGATTTTTGAGAGAGAGATACTCTGAGTTTTCGGCTTTTGCGATTTCTGAGCTTGGGGAGACAAGTCTGAACTCTGTTCGTTTATAGAGAAGATTTCAAACCCCTTTATCTATTTCGACTTAATCTATTGCTTTCTATTCATCATGTTTGTTGTTTCGATAACCATGTCTGAGTAGATCACCTGTTAGGTTTAGGGTTTAATTAGGGTTTTCTTTGAATGTTTGATTAACTTGCTAGTTAGGGTTCATATCTATTATTTTTTCACTTTAGGTTGTTCTTAATGCTAATTCTAGACTGATCACCTAGAACTTAGATCTTAGGTTGCTTGATTGACACGGAACTGTAATTGAATAACTGGAAAGAACCTAGGTTGAGCAAAGTAGCTATTCGCAAAGGAATTTGGTTTATATGCTTTGTGAACCTACCGAACTTGTGCATTAAAGCTGGTTTAAATCTGTAGGATTTGCAAAGGAATTTGAAATTCTAGGATTTTAACTTAGATAATTCTCACAACGGAAGTTGGTTAATTATAATTCTGTGTTTCGAGTTCAAGAACTGTGCTTAAACTTGAACCCTGATTAGTTAAGTCGATCTGCATTCATTGATCTCCTGAAAATGCCCTAGACCTAATCCTTACCACATCGAACTTACAAACCGTTTTCCTTGCTGTTTTATTTATCTCTGTCGCATTGCTAGTTGTTTCGCATATTTTGGCTTAGCGTAACTCCATCTACATAAGGTTTATTGAGTGATCTCTTGTCTCTGTGGTTCGACCCCTAGATACTACAACTGCACATCTGTACTCTTGCAGAGTAGCTTAGGGATTAAACTTTGAGCAGATCAGTGTTGGAAAGAAGTGAGACAGCTGTAATGGGTTCACATTCTTCTTAACACGCTTAGGTCAAGGGACTACAAAGTCGGACATCTGTGTTGAAGGCACGGGTAGTCGTTTACTCTTCCGAGTAGGTAGCTGTGCTTCTTCACCCTTCTTCGAGGTTTGAGCCATATTCTTCTCTTCCTGTGTGAGACCAAGAGACCAACCAGGAGGATCAATATCACCCAACACCTACATTTGTTATTTGAAGTTGGTGATGCACGGCATATTCTTAGTTGACTAATTTATAGATATAGACGACTACTAATTCAAACCTGCTCGTGAGATGAGACTCCAGGGTCGAACGGGGCAATAACTTGGTTCTCTTCGACAGAGGCCAAGGCATCTTCCGGAGTGTCCTGCAAAACAGTATGTACATAAAAAGTAGGAGACTTTGTGAGGAAAATAGTAGGAGACTTTGTGAGGAAAATAGTAACTATTTAACATAGCTGTAAATACCTCTTTAGGGGGGGCATCTTTGTTGACGTCTGTTTTCTCGGTTGCCACAACAGGTGCTTGTTGACAGTGAGATCTGACGGATGTGTGAACAAAGTTTACTTCGTTGGGGTTTGGGGGCTCCTCCAAGAAATCCTAGTATATATCGAAACATCATATAGTATACTACTACTATCTATTTAGGTATAGTAGACAAATAGTTAGACGAACCTGATTTTTTGCTTGGCCATCGTCTCCCATTTGCTATATTGTGAGAAAACGTAGACAATTACCGAGAAGTCGACTATGTTTACAATATATGAAAAGTAAAGACATACCTGATCCGTGACTTCCTTGGCATGGTTAACGGGTGAATGAACTGGGTTCACACGGCTTGGTTCACTGACTTGATCAAATGGCTGGTTCTCGGAAGGATCTACATTGACCTGGAAAAAAGGTTTTTCTATCATAAGTGTATGACTATGTCGGCGTATATAACTACTACTAGTTGGCTACTTACTTGGGCAGTTGCGGATAAATCAGAAAGCACAGAAGCAATTTGGTTTTGCGCGAGTGTTGCATCGTCTTGGACATCATCAGCGTCAACATGCGGTTGGCTTTCATGGTCTCCAGCATCTCGAGATCCCTCGACATCGTCCTCTACACTGTCTTCTTCGGCGGCAACGTCGCCATCAGTAAAAGAACTGGCCGATTCCTTGTTTTTGGTTACCTTATCACTGTCATCGCCTTCAGATGAATCTGATGACTTAGTCTCATCAGAAGAAGAAATCTGTTGGAACCTAACATGCTTTTTGCGAATTGGAATTGATTTAACCCTCTTCTTAGTCTTTGTTTGAGAAGGTTGCTTAAAAGTGGACAGAGCGGTAGAGACTTCGGTACGTAGATCACCGAAATCTGCGCGAAGGCTTTTTATCTCGGCTAAGATGACGGAATTGGCACCTAGAACCTTATCAATAATTGCAGCCGAAGCAGAATCGAACTCCCCGTCTGAAGGTGTATTCCGGGAGGATGACGATGGTGCCTTAGGATTCTTTAGATGAAGGGAAAAGGGCCAAAATCAACCCGAACTAAATTTGATGTGCCGAAAAAAATCCGAACTAAAATACGGTGCCAATAATTATCTGAATTCCAAAATAATTCAAATTTCCTATCCGAACTCTAATATAAGTGTCAAAATCTGCCTTGACTAATTTTGATGTTAGTCAACTGTTAAAAAACGCTGACGAAGCATGACGGAATATGACGTGGCATGACACGTTGTCACTTTAGTAAAACGACGTCGTTTTTGTAAAAACAAAAAAAAAATTTTTCCTCTAACCTGGATTCGAACCTAAGACCTTATAAACCATAACTAAGCACGCAAACCGGTTGAACCACGAGACATTATTGTTATCTTTTACAAGTACATGTATATATTATTGATATGTGTCTGTCTAAATTCAAAAAAAAAACAAAACAAAACGACAGCGTCTCAAACACTATCTTCTCCGCTTTAGCTTCCTCACTCGCTCCACCACCGCCGCCGCTCTGTCTCTGACCTACTCCGCTGACGATCCCAGCACCAGCAGCTCCGGGTTTCATGACGGCGATGGTTGGTAACTCCGTGATTCCTTTCTTCGGCATGATAATCGCACCAAGTTCGAAGATTTCTGGTAACGTGAGAGATGAGATCTCGTCGACGAGTCTGAACACACGCTCCGTTGAAGGACTACGGTGCTCTGTTGGATCGAAAGTCGCTGGATCGTAATCGGTTGGGAGCTTCCTTTGATCGATTTCTTTTTCTTCTTCTTCATCCTCTTTTCTCGCCGGTTGTCCGAAACTCCGGCAATCTCCGATGCGAGGAACGAGTGATAATCTGGAGGTTTGAGCTAACCTAGTTGATAAAAGTTGCCGGAATCTGAGAATTAAGCTCATATTTAGCAGTCAAAGCTCTACTGTTTTCACCGATTCCAGAAACGGAACATCGAAATATATACATGTATTTGTAAAGGATAGCAATAATGTCTCGTGGTTCAACCGGTTTGCGTGCTAGTCATGGTTTATAAGGTCTTAGGTTTGAATCCAGGTAAGAGGAAAAATTTTAATTTTTTTTTTAAAACGACATCGTTTTACTAAAGTGACAACGTGTCATGCCATGTCATATTCCGTCATGCCTCGTCAGCGTCTTTTAACAGTTGACTAATATCAAAATTAGTCAAGGTAGATTTTAACACTTATATTAGAGTTCGGATAGGAAATTTGAATTATTTTGGAATTCAGATAGTTATTGGCACTGTATTTTAGTTTGGATTTTTTTCAGCACATCAAATTTAATTCGAGTTGGTTTTGGCCTTTTTCCCTTTAGATGAACGCCTGCGTTTTCACCACTAATCCATGTTTTCCTTGAAAACTTAACCCCTTCGTTGATTGCTGCGAACAATTTGTCAACACTTTCGTCCGGGACATCATCATCCAGCTCCAAGTCGGTATCATCCAAAATATTTTCGTCGTCCGGCAAAATTGATTTCACAGCCACCTGAAAATTGAAATAGTAGGAGTAGTCAGTTACTTTGAAATATATCTATTTATAATTGACTATCAAATAGGTTATGTTAGAGCTTGTATCGTTTTTGACAAACTAGACAGTACTTCTTACATAAAAAATCAGCTTGAAATAGTAGGAGTAGTCAGTTACTTCGAAATATGTCTATTTATAATCGACTATCAAATAGGTCATGTTAGAGCATGTATCGTTTTTGACAAACTAGACAGTACTTCTTAGATCAATATCAGCTTGAAATAGTAGGGGTAGTCAGTTACTTTGAAATATGTCTATTTATAATTGACTATCAAATAGGTCATGTTAGAGCATGTATCGTTTTGCCAAACTATACAGTACTTCATCGATCAATATCAGCATTTCCAATAGTTGGAGTAGTCAGTTACTTTGTAATATGTCTATTTATAATTGACTATCAAATAGGTCATGTTAGAGCATGTATCGTTTTTGACCAACTTGACAGTACTTCTTATGTATAAGTAGTAGTCAACTATCAAAAGTGTGAGTAGTATTAGGAAAGTGTAAGGACTATCACATCTGTCAGTTTATAGCATTCATCGGTTTGCCAAAAAAGACAGTACTGGTGCTGTTTGTTAGCAATTAACTACTAATAATGGGCTATAATATATGTTTGATATACTAGGTTATAATGATTATCTACTATTAGTAGTCGCCTATATATATATAAATATTATAGTGGATGTGATTATCATACCTTCTGAGACTTGTCAAGATACTTGACATGCGGCATTGAGATGTTTACGGGTTTCATAGAACCAGGACGTATACTGGGGGTATCGTCTTCATCCACCAAATTAGGTTCGCTTGATTTTCCTTTCAGATCCTTCTTGAGAATAGCGGGAGCACATTCCAAAATCACCATTTGTAATGCATGTATAAACCCCTGAAATGCACACGTCGGCTGGCACAGGTACGATGGTGTTGCCGTCCTTGTTTTGATGCTGTGTATGGTCAAATCAAAAGATTTCCGACCCCATGGATATTCCAGGAATTTATCAACATCCTGCACCATCATAATGTGCTCGGCACTTATCTTTGCATTCCTAGAAGTCGGGCATACAATCCCATCGATAAGAAGTAAGCAAGCTAGCTTAAATCTAGTCTCTTTGTCCTTGTATGGTCTGCCAGCAAGTGTTGTTGCAATCCATCCAGGAGTCGCATTCTTCTCTGACCCAAACAACTCAATAGTCTCGGCATTGACCCGGTCTTCTTTGAGCTTTTTCGCAGGTGGCAACTTGGAGCAATCTAGGCCTGTCGTAATAGCAAAATCCCTAATAGAAAAACGGATTGGCTGGCCAGCGAATAGACACCAAAGCTCTTTTTTTTTCTTCGTAACTAGCTGCCGAGACAAGATGAAGTGAAGGAATCTAACTGATGAAGCAATCTTGTTACCTACTTCCATCGGTTTTCCAAACTGAGACAATGAAAGCTTCTCCATATGGTCTTCTTCCAAAGCAAAACTGATTGTGTCAAGATAGGTTAGCTGAAAGTAGGTGTTCACCTTCTTATTCTCCGGTTCGTTTCCTAAGGCAAACATTCTATCCGGAAACCTGCTCATAACTTATCAGCTGAAAATAAAAAAACAATGAAACAACTGAAATTAGTAAATTGTATTACATAAACGTCTATTAGTGTTTGTCTACTATATAAAAATAATCGTTTATTGCGAGAGAGTATACAAAATTTCGGATGACCTTATTGTCCATGTTTGTATCTGAACTCCATAACGAATTACTGCTAAACGAATACTTTTTAATTTCATGTTCACATGTAATTGGAAAAGTGATTCAACCCCATAAAAATTCGAAAAACATGTAACCCAAGCGGCACCAAACATAGATCTGTACTTCCGAAAAATCCCCAAAATGAAATAGGGTAATTAGGCTCAACCTACACATGCAACCTGGCGAATAAACGACTACTATGGTAATTGGATACTTGTAGATCGTAAACCTTAATATAACAGAGCCCAATTCAATTGGGAGTTGAGCGACGGAAGGCGGCGACGACGCGGGATCTACGAGAATGGAAATTGGTCTAAAAGCGAGAAAAGAAAACTAACCAGGAAACAGATGGGTTCGGATGGAGAGTGGCGACCGTTGTCGTTACTCGGAGCGGCGGACGGCGCTTCCGGCGCAAACAAAAAAGACGAAGTTGTGTGTGCGTCTTTCTAGGTTAAAGAAAAAGGAGTGGGAATGTGAAAGAGAACAGGGAAGAGAAAGAGGGAAATGACAGTTGCGAATAAGTTCGTAGGTGTGAGAGGAGAAAAAGAGCCTTTAAATGTGAGATTTTATTGCGGTTAATTTTTTTTTTTTTAAAACGGTTACCTTTCCATCCCAAGCAGTTTACATCTCAATATAAAGTAATTAAACTGCCTAAATACTTACAAATGCTGCAAATTATTTCGTTGGTTATGTTAACAGAGAGGAAACCGTTTTACAACATGGAATAGCCAATTACACTAAATATAAAAGCAACTGATATAATATAGAAAGAGTATTCAACTACAATTAAAGCAATTATAAATAGTCGACTACATTTAGGAAGAGACAATAACAGACAAATGTTTGGATGGTCCAAAACGGAATAGATCGAACCTATGGATCTAAAGAGAATTTCACATGGTGGTAGTGCACGTAGAGGTAGCAAAGTTCACAGTACACGCCCTGGTGGTTCATACGGCAACTGGGGAAATCAACAGCAATATGGGGTAAAGATGTATGCGCATCAGGCACCACCATTTTGTCGATCAAAGCCATAACTTCCTCACCAATCTGAATCATATGCTCAATTGTTGCTCTCCAACCAAAAACACGGTCTAAAATTTCTAGGCCTATGGGGTAGTGACCTAATGCGGTAACACATATGACCATCATTAAGGTCGCCAGTTGAACTCCAGCTTTAGACGCTTGGTTGAAAAACCTTAGAGAACCTTCGATATCATTAACCATAGTGATTCTGCTCATGCCGCGGATATATAGACCAAGTGGATTACCTGATGTCACCGCTGCCTCAAAGAATGAAGGGTAGCTCTGAACTAAACTGGGCCTTCTCACGAAAGCTGTAATGTTGAGAAACCTCATGACAGATGATTCCTTGAATGTTTGGCTAAGGAATTTGCATGAACAAACAAATGAGCAAGCGTCTTTAGCAGAAGTCCTACCAACTCTTTCAAAAATATCAACGACTGCATCCCGAATCTGAGGAAGAATATCATTTGCCAGCGGTACCAGATCGGGATGTACTTGGGACAACGCAGACCTTCAAACACAAAGCAACGAATAGTAAGCTACCCAGCATATGGTTACCTATAACTAGGAAGAATAGTTAGTTACTCGGTAAATGGTCACCAATAAACACGTATTTACTAACTTAAATTGTAAATGCTATACTCGGTGGTTAACTATTCAGATCTGAAAACGCAGATCTGGATGACGGATGAGAATGATAGTGGAAAGCGTTTGAAAAAAAAAACAAAAACTGTGAAACACGATAAATGCCAAACGTTTATGTGCCCAAAAATAGGAAGAATAAAGAGAGATCTCATTTTGGAAAATTAAGAAATCTAGCTCCTGGAAATTAACGACGACGTATACGGGTATCTGTGAGGAAAGTCATATAACATTCAACAGACGAAAAAAACAGAGCTTAACATTTTACCTTTCAATCTTCGCTGCAGACAAAAAAGACGGTGGTTCGCAAGATCGGTCCATCGTATTCGGAGCTAATTGGGTATAACGACTGGGTGTAGTAGAAGTAAGTGACTCGCCGTATCAAACTCCGGTTTAACGTGTCGGGAACGGCGAAGCAAGATGGAGAATCGCCGAAATTATAGAAGAGAGGATCTGGATGAGGTAGTAGTGTTTTAAAATTCAAACTGAATTTCAAGGACCGAAGCTTGACTATAAAGACCCAGCGAAAAGATTTTGAATTAAAGCTGATGAAAGAGAAAGATGTCAGAAATAATGAAAAACGAAAAAACGTATACGTTATCGTTGTAAAGATATGCTAAAGTAGAAAGCAACTGAGGGGGTTTAGGGTACTTTCCACCCCATAAAAAAATTAGCTTCTTGATACTTAATTACCTCTTGTCGTTACGTTACGCCACCAAATTTCCCTAAAAAATATATATTTATTAATGAATTGCCAAATGCCACGTGAATGAAGATTAGAAAAAAAAAAAAAAAAAGGAGTAGAACTACTTCCATCATCTTTGAGAAAACTTCCGTCGGTTTGTTTAAACTCCGAACGCTTCTAGAAACTCGCGATATTCTTGAAGCTTTCGAAAAACTTATAAACTCACGACACTTCATGAAACTTTCGATGATATTTGGGAATTTCAAATGAACTTCCCAAAATTAACAGAGTCGATGAGAGTATTCACTAGGTAAGACCTTGATTTTGGGTAAAAGAATCCTAAGAGAGAGACTGGTAAGACCCTCAGCGAAAGCTAAGGAGATGGTTTGGCAGACCGTAGCCGCTGGGAGTGGAAACCGCGGTCACGGTAATAGAGGTGGTCGTGGCTGAATGGAGTCTACGATTCAACATCTTTACTAAATCGAAGCGGAAGATTCAATTTGTTTAAATACCACATTTGTTTTGGTCTAATCTTTACTTCGGTCATCTTTTATAACCGCAATTAATAATTAAAAAAAAAGACCTTGATTTTTGGATGAGATCAAGGAACAAATAAGATAAGGATATGGGCACATCTCCTAATGAGACGGCTTTCAAGAAAGTGTGGAAGGATTAATTAAGATTAGAGAGGTATGAATGTACACAGAAGTCTCTCCGTTCTCCACTCCGAATTAGAAGCTATCATCTGGACCATATATTTTATGGTTGCACAGCACAAGACTACAATAGATTTTCCAACAAACTATCTCGTTTGAGATAATATATGTAAACTTTGTATCAGTATTAGATCGCTGAATCATCCTATGTATTTTGATGTTGTTGATTAAGAAACAAAAACATTCCCGTTCATAGAATGCTGTATTTATTCAATAGAAACATAAAGTTAAAAATAAAAATACAAGCTAATGACCACTGCCATTTACGTAAGTAACATGACCGTTACTTCATTGGAATATGACCACTTCAATAACCAGCAGAATTATCCACTTCGGTGTCTTCAGAGATTTGAACATCAGATCCACCTGGAAACATAAGTATAAACCTTCGAAGTACTGTAGTCTCTGTCTTCATTGACCACCCTCAAACCACATATAATAGATCATATGAATGTAAGTAATAACTTTGAAAACAGTAAAATAAAAGTGAATCATGAGCCATTAAGTGATAAAATTAACCTGTATCTACACAAATGATGGATAAAAATGGCCATTTGCAACTTAGCGAACTCAACTCCTAAACATAGTCTAGAACCAGCGCCAAAGGGCATATAGGTCCTTGAGAGAATCACACTCAAGTCTTTTCCCTGAAAATTTAGTTTAAACTTGTATGAATTGAATAAGTGAGAAGTAAAGGATGAAGAACAAATGAAAATCACCTTCCAGCGCCATGGATTAAATGCTAGAGGGTCTTCATACTTTTCTGGATTGAAGTGGATACTAGGATAGCCCATGAAGATCCAACCAGCTGGAATTGTGTAATCTCCAACTTGAACTTCATGTTCAATTTTCCTAAGCATTGTTGGCACCGTGCTTGTGATCCTTAGCGACTCATTTATCACCTGATGTAAAACATCATGTTTGTCTGAACTACTATATATATGTCAAGATTTGTGGACTTTCAATTCAAAATGGGTTTGAACGATACTAGTATAAACCACTAGGCTATATCTTATAGGTATTTATATCCTTATTATAATACTCACCATCTGAGTGAAAGTCATTGATTTATAGTCTTCCCATGTAAGCTCGGCCTCCTTCCCCTTGTCAGTCTTACCCCGGAAAATTTGCTCATGTTCTCTTTGCAGTTCCTGCTTGACTTTAGGGTTGTCATTTATGAGCTTTACTGTAGCCGCAAGGACCCCTGGAGTTGTTTCGTTAGCAATCACAAAGAATGTAAATATGTACTAGATTGTATTCTCTATACTCATCGTTTCCGGTCTTCCTTCCATTTCTCCAAATATGATCTTTAAAAACTTCCCCAAACTCCTCTCCTGATGCTCTCTTCTTCATCACTGTCTCCTTTAGTAAACTCATCATCAGCTTTCTAGCCTGTCATGTATATATTAAATCCATAATCACCTCGATTCTTTTTTTTACCCCATAAATCATATGCATATATGAATTAAAAGCCATGTACCTTCAACATCCGATAGACACCAGTTCCAGGAATGTTCCATGAGAATCGAAACCACCCCCTCGGAAAATATTTCCAACAGAGTGTTAGTTCTTTTGCGGCATCTGGTTCCATATCACCCATAACTTTCGTCGCAAGGCATTCAATTAAGATCTATAAGATTTGATGATATGTATATATATGATGGGATTTATTTTCTTCATGAGAAACGGATGGCTTTTTTTTTCTTTAATCACCTTGTTTGCTGTTTCCTTGACGTCAAGACCACCGCTCTTAGCTCCTACCTCC